GGACCCTGGGATCATGACCTGAGCTGAAGGCAGAGGCTTTAACCCACTGAGCCATCCAGGCGCCCCAGGTCAGTGTTCTCTTTAGAGCTTGGTAGGAGATGAGGCAATCCCCAGGAGTATCTGGGCCTTCTGAGCTGAGACGTCCCAGAGTATGCAGGCCACATTCCACGCGTCGTCATCCGAGCAGCAATCCCTTCTCAGAAGGGGAGCAGAAACTTGTGTAGGTGAAGGCCTGGGCTTCAGAAGTAGATGGGTCTAGTCCACATTTTGTCTTTACCGGTTACAAGCTATGGGACCCTGGGCAAATTATTTTTTTTTGTGCTTTACTTTGGGGATGATCATGTCTCCATCAAAGGGTAGTGTAGACCCCATGAGTGAATGTGCAGAAAACAGCATGGGGCTTGGCATCTTGGCACAGAGATGTGCTTCGTAAAACAGGTAGTTGGTTTTTAAGGTTACACCTGTTATCTACATTTGGAGGTAAGAAGGTAAGTCTCTAGAGAGGCCTGGCAAGGAAGGGCATCTGGATCGTGGCTGCTAATCACTATGATCCCCTCCTCTGTTACAGCCCCCCATGGGTGAGGAGGGCAACCACAAGCGACACCCAGTGGCGGCAGGAGGTGGCAGCGGTGAGGGCAGGAAGCGATGCTCCTCCCAGTCTTCCAGCAGGCCCGCCACCATGATCAGCCAACCCCCTACACCACCCACTGGCCAGCCCGTCCGGGAAGATGCCAAATGGACGAGCCAGCACTCGGACACACAGACTTTGGGAAAGTGAAAAGCCCATTAGCCCTGGGGTTTGGGGGGTTGGGGATGGGGTGGGCAAGAGTCCATGGGGGTGCCCAGTCCCAGGAGAGGGGACAGAGAAGGGACAGGCCTCGAGTCATTAGAATGGGCCTTCGTGCTGAGTAGCAACGTGTACACCATTTGGGCTATCAGAGGTACCCCTGGGCAGGAGCCTCCACATACCCTCTTCCCCCTCCTCTCTCCATGACTCTTCTTCACATCCTAGCTTCTTCTAAGGGGGGGGAGGGAAAGGGGGGAGATTTTTTTTTATATATATATATATATATATATCAAGTTTTAAATTATTGATAGTTCGTCTGGATTACCAAAATCACTCTGTAGCCCTGCCCGCGGCTGGTAGGCCGCCACCCTGGTTCCCAGCCACAGCCTCCTGCTCCCCCTCAAGCCAACTATGCAGCCCACAAGAAGGCCCTGTGGGCCCCATTGCCCAGCACTGTCCCATGGAAGGCTCTGGCAGCGTCCCTGGGCCCCACAAGCATCAGCCCCCTGATCATCTGGGGCTTGTCATCACCATGTTCTCCCCCTGCTGTCCCCACCATGCCCTTCTGCCATCTTCTGGGAGAAGGAAACCAAAGGATCTAGAAGTGGGGGCAGGGGAAGGTTTCATCCTCTCCCCACCCCCCTCTCCCCATACCCCTTACTCCCCAGCCCAGAGAGACGCTGCTCATACCAGAAAAGACTATTGAAAGATGATTTATTTTATTTTTCTCTGACCTTTCCATCCTTGGAAAAATGGAAAAAAAAAAAAAAAAAAAAAGACAAAATCGACCACAAAAGACCAAAAAAATAAATCAGAAAACCCCCACCTAATCCACAGAAAGTGATGTCTTTCCCCTACCCTTGGATTTTGTTTTTTGTTTTGTTTTGTTCTTGGAAATAATATTTTTTTAAAAGTTGCCTTATTGTGGAGCGGGAATCTGAAATACCCAAATGCCTGTTTTCCTCGGTGGAGTCAACTCGAAGAGCTCACACCTTCTCTGGATGTGCCTGGGCTGGATTGGCTAGAATCTTCCTCTGGACTGAGTTGCATGTACAGTGCCTCCTGCCTGTAGGCAAGAGAGTTGGGGGCGGCTCACGTAGAGCCGTCCCTGAAATACCCCTGCTGTTGCATCGTTTGAAGCTGGCGTCCTGTGTCCGTACACTGCTGCCACTGTCGTGCCCTTGCTCTGCTTGCTGTTGCTTCATGACAGGCCCCGTCCTGCCGTGACACCCTTCATCCTACCCTGGGAACCCCAAGGCCAGGTTGGCTTCAAACTGTTGAAGAAGAGCATTGGCCTGGATCTGGGACACACTTGGCCTCAGCTTGACCGTCTCCCCCCACCTCCAAGGGGAAAGGTGAACGCCTGGCAGCCGAGGCTGGGGAATGTGTTGCCCGGAAAGCTCTGAGACCTCAAGGAGGCTTTGTCTCCTAACAGGAGGAGAAGGATGCCATTCTCCTCCCTTGGGTCTGGTGGGGTCTCCCCATCTTGCATCCCCCCTCTGCAAGCCATCTCTGCCCACCCTCCAATTGACCCTACCTGGGAATGAGGGATGAGGAGGATTTGAGGGCTGGGGGGAATCCTGCCAGTTGGAGAAGCCCCGCGGCAGGAAGGTATATGTGGACATAGAGTATACCTGACTTCTCTTCTCTAGCCACTGACTGCTGGGGTCGGGCTGAGCGACAATGGCATGGTTGGAGTCCACTGGCACCCAAAACTAGGGAGGGTGACGAAGGACTGACCCACACAGATTGAGCTGTGTGTCGGGTTCGGGCGTGACAACATGTTCCCCCGTAGTGGGGACCGAGCAGCACAGAGAAGTTGATGGTAGTGTTGCTCCATTGCTGACACTTCCTTGGCCCTCTTTTTAACTGTTTCTTCTGTTGGGCCCAAAGATCAGGAGCAGGAGACAGTATTCCAGACTGGCAAGGGCTTGCCCTCTGTTACGGGCACCTCACCGCTTTCGGCCTGTACCCTTCCCCATCTCTGCGCTCCCAGTGGTTAGTATGTGGGAAGCCCACCTCAGTTCCTGTGACCTGGTTTGTCTCGAAAGTCAAGGATGAGTGTCTGGTCTTTGCTCTGTAAGTGGGATCTGAGGCCTTCCCCTGCTGTTTGGTGCCTGCCCTGCGTTGTATCAGATGCTGGACTCCTGCATCCCTTCTTCCCTTTTTACCCCCTTTCTTTGGGTTGCTCAGCCCTGTACTGTATCCAGCACCATAGAACCTCAGTGTTTGTCCTCTCCTGGGTTTGGGGGCGCGAGGAAGCCTTGGGGGTGTGCGGAAAGGCTTTTCTTACCTAGAGTTTACTCCCAGGCCAGGGGGCTGCCATCCCCTCCCTGATTCTCCCACAGACACCCCAGAGAGAGGAAGCCCCTTTGGGGTGGGGAGGTGAGGACTTCATCTCATCACAGGCTGAGGATGGGGGGAGGGGTTTTTTCTCTTTCTTTTTTTGTAACATGTTAGGAGTTAATGTTGCAAAGAGTAGTTTACATCTTCACTTTCTGAAGACACTTGAATTTAGGACCGACGTATCTGTGACAGGCATGCCAGGAGCGGCCGGAGCCATCAGGGGCTTGCCGCTTCACACCCACCACCCTCCCGTGGGGGTCCCAAGACCTGAGACACGAAGCAGCCTGCCCAAACCCTTCCACTCATCCTGTACCCCTCCACGAGTGGTCCATGCCAGTATGACCTCTGGGCATCAAACATCACAAGATCTGAGTGCCTCAGCCCTGCTAAGGGGCAGGGTTCTCTTGCCCTCTTCTGAACCTGGCGGCAGACTCACTCCCAGTAGAGTGGCTGCCTGGCCCTGCCCCAGCCTGGACCCCTGGGGCTCAGGCCTAGGTGCTGAGCCCCCATGTCAAAGTTGTTACGTTTTTGTTTTGTTCCATTGTAGCTCATTTTTCCCCCTTTCCTGATGATTGATTTTACAAAAGAAAGTAAGCTGCTCAGCAGGCCCTAGAAGTGGGGAGCAGGGGCAAGGAAGACGACTAGACAAGGGGCAAGGGCGGGTGGGCGTGGGTTTTGTTTTTGTTTTTGCCAAAAAGCCTGAGTACAGCGGTGTGGATGATCTGGTGCCCTTGTGAGTGGGACCCAAAGTCTGTCCTATGTGGAAGGGCCCCTGGATTTGCCCCCGCCCCTGCCCTCTCCTTCAGCCATGTCGATGGCAGAGGCAGAGAAGGTCAGAACTTCTAGCCCGTTTCTCACTGGCGAGGAAAACTTGTCATCTGGCTTTGCGGAGAAGGTTCCACCTTACGCTCATAGTACATTATCTTTACCATGTGCTAGGATATCACATTTAAAAGGACAAAAAAAAAAAATGTAAAATACTTGAATGAGCTTGTATTATAACATTAATATTATTGAGAGCATCTGCTTTCCAGGCTGAAGTGATTCATTCATTATTCTAGTCCTGCTTTAGTCCTTTGTAATTTGTGGTAATTATGCTTTTCTTTTTAATACAAAAAAAATGTATAAAAATAAAAACTTGAAAAGGCAAAACACTGGCTGGTCTCCCATCTGGGGTACAGCTCTTGAGGGATGGAGCCTCAGATCCAGGGAGTCCTGCAGTCGGAATGTGCGCATGAGAGCTTTTGCAGGGCTCTGCTGTTGGGCTTGTGAGGAGTCTGCCTAGGGAGCAGACTCCCGGAGCTGCTGCTGAATGGTTCCAGGAGGAGTCCTCAGTGGTTTTTGAGGGCTCCTGCCAGCCTTGAGTTCACGGTCACCTTGGGTCTCAGGTGAGACGTGGCAGCGGTAGTCGGTGTCACAGAATGGGGAGCTGCCGGGCAGCAGCTCTGGGGGTTCTGCCCCCTTTCACGGCTCCCGGGATTTCTGTCCTCTGGCTGTGGCTTGGCATCTTGTAAGGAGACAGCCAGGAAGGTTGCTGGGATGCCTCATGGACAGCCAGCACCACCCCTCACTGAAGACTTCCCCTGCTAGGTTGTAGAGGACTAACGGGTCAGTGCTCTGGCCTTAGGGAAATCCAGGCCAGCCAGTGAGCCCTGAGGGTTGAAGCTGGAATGATGACTATACCCCACCCCACCCATGACCGGCTCCTGGGCTGTCGGTGGCTTTTCCCTGACCCGTGAGGCCGGGCACTGGCAGAAGAAACGTTTGGAATGCCAGTCTGGCCTAGATGTAGAATTAAAAAACTGGAAGTGAGGCATGGCCTTCCCTACTCATTAATCTGACCACTCTCTCATGCTTAGCACTGGAGCATCCAAGCAGAAGTGGTTTTCCAAAGAATTCCACCATTATTTCCGTGGGCAGGTGCTTTAGGACCACTGCTTGCCTCTGTGGGCTGAAGAAGAGTCGAGAAGGTGGCAACCGGGGCTTCTGTAGGTGGATCTGGGGACAGGCAGATACCCTACTTCCACAGCCTGGTAAGGATGCTCAGAGTGGCCACTGATGGTTATTGCACGGCTGTGGCTCCCAGATGTCATGTGGTTAGGAGTGTCCGGACTAGTCAGAGAAAACATGGAAGCCCCTACTGGAATTAAGAGATCATTTTATTTTCCATGCCTTCCACTTTCACCCTCACAAGGTCTGTTGGGAATTTGGTGACGTCTCCCTTTTCGTAAGCCTCACTTGTTCAGCCAACCTCAGGGCCATTCTGTTTGGTGAAGAAGAGCACGGGCCCAGGCCCCTCTGTCAGAGCCCAGCCGCCTGGCTGCCAAAAGGTATGAGAGACTGTCAGCCTCTTGACCCTCTACAGTACCTCAAAGTCTAAAGCCCTCACGGGAAAAAAGGCATCCATTCTTCTCCTCCACATTCCTCATTCCCTACCCTGTTAAGTATACTGAAGATGGGCTGTTTCCTAAGTGTTTACTTGTAAGAATAGGTTGTGCGTGCGGGCTAGCAGCTGCGGCAGTTCAGACCATGGGTGCACCAGAAGCTAGACTTAAGCTCAGGGCATGGGTGTTCTGGGGATGGGGCCAGGCCCACCAAGGCCAGACTAGGGGATGGGGCGGGTGGGGTTTTGAAGGCCAGGGAGGACACTGGTAAGTGCCCAGTTGGTACACTGGGCAGGTCTGGAGTTGTAGCGCTGATAGGAAGGAAGGAGTCTTAGATTTGCCTGGAGACTTGGCCCTATCCAGTATTAATTAAGGTGGTTAATAAAACAACGGATGGTTTTCTTGACAGCTGAAAGTCCAAATAACAAGGATTTAGTAACTGAGAATGGTGGTCTTCAGATTGTCCTTGGGAGCTGAGGGTTCCTGACAACGTCTGGCTGCTGAGGGAAGGCCAGGCCGGGGGCTGCCGCCGCCCACGCAGGTCTTCGGTTTTGTTTCAGATAATAAGGTTCCTGACAAAGTTTCATTGGAAATAAATGGTGTTGAGACAACTGGTCAGTCATCTGGGGGAAGGAAAAGGGTTTTGCCCTTTGGTCAGCCATGTTTTTCTTGCCTTTTCTGAGAGGGTTCTAGCCCCCTCAGTTGGGTGTCCCCAAAGGTCAGGAACTCTGACCCTCCCTTCTGTGGATAAAAGGACCTCCAGCTTAGCAGGCCAGCAGGGTTTGGCCTGTGGTTTCTGTGTTTCCACATCTGGCTGAAGGTGGGGGTTGGCATGCATCTCTTTGATATCCCGGTTTTCATCCAGGGAGGGGCGCTCTGTGATAGGCTTTTTTCTTTTCATAGAGGGATGATGTTTGCAATGGGGTAGAGTTGAAATGGGGCCTGTGTTAGCTGACTGTGTATGCGTGTGTGTTTTGGAAATGAGGGTGTCCTAGCCCTGGCCAGAGTAGGATATGAGAAAAGCTTTTAGCAATAGGAAGGGGCAAAGTAATACCTTCTGGTTCCCTCACCCCCTGGCACCCGGAGGAGACTTCCCAGAGCTGGCAGTAGCTTCCTATCTCACCACCACTTTTGCATTCTCTGTGTCTTGTCTAGGTCATAAAAAGGTCATCTGGGGTCATCTTTCCCCTTCTGCAGCAAAACGACCAGGGGGACTCACCAGGACCGCTCTTAAAAGTTGTTTCTTCTCACGGGCCTCCATTCTGGGGAGCTGTTTTACCCCCTTCCTTAAGCCAACTCCTTCTTGTTCCTTCTGAGGGACAATAGGGGCAGCTGGGGGAGCCCTGGCCCCATCCTTGGCCTGCTTTTCTGGGAAGATGATCTAACCCCCTGCACCAGTGGTGCTGTCATTAGTGAATGGCTGGGGGAGCAAGTTTGGTGCAGTCAGAATGCCTCAGGCCACCGGAGCCGTCCACTGAGGGGGGACAGCCAGGATGGCCCTGGGGCCCTGTCTCACTCCATCTTCTTCAGGGCATCCGGGATGCTCTCAGACAGTGGGGTGAAGCCCAGCAGGAGGATGTGTCTCTCGTAGGCCTTGGTCTGCTTGAACACTGTGTCGGTCCCATGAAGGTGGTCCAGCACCCCCAGCACCCCATAGCACTGGTTGAACCTGGAGGAGAGAGGATGGTGCGGGAGACTGGTGTGCTGTTCTTTTCATTCATGCTAGCCTTACATTTCTAAGCCCTCCTACCCCAAACACCCATCCCCAACATGCTGATCGCCTCCATCAGAACATCCCAGGGAGTTGTGCACATGCCTGGGGCCACTCTGGACTGACAACCTACGCTCTCCTTTTGAAAAGCTATCTGACTCCGCCGCACACAAATCAGAATGTGTGGCAGAGCTTGGCTTGTTCAGGTTGGTTCAGGGGCCACCTCCATCAGAATCCCCCAGAACATTTAACTAAAACGCAGTTTGCATGTCCTGCTGCCCCACACGCTTTGATTCAGCAATGTGCAGCAGAACCCCCAAACCTGTGTTTTATCAAGGTTATCTCAGGTGATCATGGCGCTGGAGGTTTGTAGACCACACTTGCAAAAGCTCGGAGGCTTTCAGAGAGGACAGTTCCCCTTGTGAGGTGGACATGATAACCACTACACTGCAGAAATGGACAATTCCCCTTGAATTGTGTGCAGTATTCTTAGGTGTACTCAAAGGTACACCTATTCTTAGGTATACTCAAAGGGCCCAGGACCTAAGTAAAGGTTAAAAACCCACAGCTGCAGGAAGACCCAGTGTTAGGAAGAAGGAATAGAGCAAGGTGATCTGGGTCCAGCATGGTCCTTATTCTGCCAACCTCTAGAACTCTCCCTCCACTAGTACCATCACAAGGAAACTGAAGATACCTGGGTCATGTCTGCTCCTGGAATCGCCAGGAGAGAAGGTGAAGGTTATTGCCCAAGGACCCACAGTGGGGAAAGAGATCTTACTTGAGATGATGGTAGTCATGGAATTCAGGTGAAGGCAGGAAAGGTAGGTGGTAGCCACAGTGGGAAATGGTGGTGATGATGAGGGCCAAGGAGAACCACACGGTGATGGAGGACAAGTGGGAGCCCATTATTATGGGACCCACCATCACCGGCAGCATGTTGGAGACCTGCAAGGGGAGGGCTGTTTTGAAGGTGGGTCCCAGGGAGATGGAGGGGACCCAATGGGTGTCTACTTTGCCCCAGGGTGGTACCAGCAGGACTTCTTTGACTCAGATCTGGAGAAGCTGAAAGAGTTGCAGGACCTTGATTCACTGGAGTCCTTCAGCTTTTTAACTTTCAGACAAGTTACTGTTGGAGATAACTTCTGCTGGGCATCTCACAAAGCCTAGCACAGACTGGGTCAACAATAAATGGTAGCTGGTGAATGGGAAGAAGGGAGAAAGGGCCACTGTGGTCTTAATTCTCTGTGGGAGGCCTTTGGGAAGGTGCTTGGGGCCCTCTGCCCTTTGCCTCTGGAGAGGAGACCTCTACTGACCACATGCTCAATAGGGTGGGCGTAGAGAGAGATCACGCCAATGGGAGCTGTCCACTCATGGTGTTTCTTGTGGATTTTCTTGTAAAATGCTGGGTGGTGAAGGAGCCTGGAAAAATAGTTAACAGTTAATAATCTGCCAGTCTCCCTTTTCCCTTTCCCACCAGACCATGAGAAACCAAAGGTAGGAGCTAAGAGTTCCTCCTATGGAGCAAAGTTGCAAACACATTGGATTGGCACCCAGACCTGCCTTTGCGTTCTAACCCCACCTCTTATGCTGCATAATTTGGGGGTGGGTTTCTTTGCCTCTACCTCAGCTGTACTAGCTGTGGGGATGGCAGGAATGGTGCCCACAAAGAATTCAGTAAGGAAACAAATGGGGAAGCGCCCCACTGCACATGAATGCAGCGGCTTTCTTTGCTGGACGTCCTCTGTCAGTTGCCTCAAGTTGTCAGTCGTGGAACAAACAGTTGGTGTCCACATTAACTAAGAGGTGGCTTTTGAGGCCAGGTGATGTTGCTCTGAGGCCTCAATTTCCTCCCTTCCAAGTGAGCCCTGGGAGAGTGAGCAGCCAGCTGTGTCTGGGCTGGGACCAGCTCACCGGTGCGAGTAGTAGAACAGGACTTCCTCAATCAGAGTGAAGATAGCCAGCTCCAGGAGGAACCAGTGGAAGGTGGGTAGCTCTCGGCGGCAGGGGTCTCCCCACAGCTTGAGGATGGGATAGAGGAAGACCAGCATGGGCAGAGAGATCACGCACTGGTTGAAGAGAACTGTGCGGACAGACTGGCGTAGTTTCTCGGCGTCCACCTGCCCAAGGTAAGGAAGGAGGTCTTTCCATTCTAGAAACACCTTCACTGTGATCCTCTCACAGGGGGCCCTCACTCTGGGGTGGATGCTCAGTGTGACGTCTGGCCATAGCCAGCAGCCCCCAGCTGCTGCCCAAGCCCTGGAGTGGCCCATCCAGTGATAACCCTGCTTTTAGAAACTCCCTTCTCAGCAGCCTCCAAGTCAGCCTGAGCCTGTCTTCTTCCTGCCAAGTGTCACCACTGTTCTCCCCATTTCTCCAGCCAGGCCCAGACATGCTCCTGACAGGCACTGTAGGGTGCCTCTGGGGTGCTTGGAGAAGGCTGTCAACTCTCAGGTTGATACCCTTTTTCAGCCTTTGAGCCCCTCCTCATCCACAGAGGCTTGACCATATCAGGTGCAGAGATCAAGGTCCCTGCCCTCTCCTGTGGCCCAGCCTCCCTGACCAGGCCCAGAGTGAAGAGAAGGTGAGCTAGAGAACTGCCTATCCAGGTCCTGACCAAACTTCCTGTGACTTGGTCTTCCTGGTTTTCATGGTGGGACTGTCAGGATGGGGACCTGCCTGAGCACTCTGTCCAGGTTTTCTCTGGCAAGCTGGCTCCAAAATCTCTCACCCTCAATACTGGGCCTCAATACTCTAGCCAGCATTTGCCCAAGAATCAGTACCTGACCCTTCCCTTCCTCAGAGCACTGGGGCTCCCTGGAATAGCCGCATGACCACGGGTCACTTCCTGGGTCCTGACAAACTAGTTTGGGGACTGGTCAGAAGGGTTTCTCCCTGAGTTGCCCCCATGAGCTGGAGGGGTTCTGAGTGGTCGTCAGGCTTCAGCTTTGCTCTTCCTCCAGCTTTCTCCGGCACGGCATGGACTAACTGACTCGAATCCACGCTCTAAGCTTTCAGTTCCATCCCACGGTGAAGCCAGGCCAGGCCAACCTTTTTTGGGAGCACCTGTAGATGAAGCCATACAACCTTCTGGAAACCCTGACCCAGAGGAGGGTGTCACGCATGTTTACTCCTTCAGTGATTCGGCTGATAGGTCTTGAGCACCCTCGACACTGCAGGCGGTGTCCTGTGTGCTGGGAAGCAAGCATGAGCAAAACAAAGGTTCCTCCCCTCCTTGAGTTTCTATTCCTGGCGCCAGTAATCTTAAATAGAATGGTCAGGGTGAGCTTTGTGGAGATGGTGAGATCTGAACAAAGAGAGGAGGAAGGTGAGGGAAAGGAGAGCTGCAGGGGGTCTTCAGGCTAAGGGCACAGCTGGTGAAAGGCTGTCTGCACCTCTCGGGCATCTCTGACCGGAGAGGAGTGTGAGAAGTAGGAGGTGAGGCCAAAATGGTGGGGAGGCGCGAGAGCACAGACGGCCTTGTAGGTCATTGGGAAAACTGGCTTTTCATACAAGGGAAATGCGGGGTCATGATGGGAAGAGAAGTGACAAACTCTCACAGGATTACTCCAGCCACTGCGCTGACCACAGACTGGAGGAGTAAGACTAGACCGAGAGAGACGAGTGAGAACAGTCCTGTAGGCAGAAGAGAATGACCGCTCGGACCAGTGGGGGTAGTGAAGGGCGGCCCTGCCATGAACTCCCTTCCAGAATGTGGGTGGCAGACTTTGAGGGGATGATCAGAAGTTCTCTTGGGGGGGCGCCTGGGTGGCTCAGTGGGTTAAGCCTCTGCCTTCAGCTCGGGTCATGATCTCAGGGTCCTGGGATCGAGCCCCGCATGGGGCTCTCTGCTCAGCAGGGAGCCTGCTTCCCCCCTCTCTCTCTGCCTGCCTCTTTGCCTACTTGTGATCTCTTTCTCTCTCTCTCTCTGTCAAATAAATAAATAAAATATTAAAAAAAAAAAAAAAGTTCTCTTGGGGACATTCTGGATGGGAGATGTCAAAGAGGCCTTTGGCAATCCGAGCCTGGAATTCAGAAGAGAGCCCCGGCTAGAGATAGAAATCTGTGCGCTGTTGGCATATAGACTGTATTTAAAGTCATGACACTGGAAGAGAAAAATGAGGGAGTGAAGACGGAGGTGGGGAGCAAGGCCTGAACCCCAGGATGCTTAGCATTAAGAGGCGGGGGAGAAGAGGAGACACCAGAAGGGAGACCGTGAAGGAGCAGCCACTAAGATGGGAGGAGAAGCGGAAAGCCAGGTAGGAGAATATACAATACGAATGCAGAGACAAGCCCCTGTGAAGACAAGCCTGCTAGGGCTAATGAGAGGAACCTTTGAGAGCACTTGGGGTGGAGGGGGGACGGTGAGGGCCTGACCTGAGCAGGTTCACACAAGAGGTGAGATGGTGGGTTTGCAGTTATCAGGGAAATACCGGCTGAAGCACCGCAGGGGAATCTGTAATGTCTGGAACTTACTTTCGAATGGTTAAGCTAAAAATTACAGGTGCGTACGTATTTGTATTTCTACATCTACATAATGCAAATACTGTAAAATGTTTAAAAGTGGTGAATCCAGGCAACATGTGAATGAGTGATCATTGTACTGCTTTGTTTCAACTTCTGTATCTATGTTTACTATTTTTTCTAATTACAATATGCTGGGTGAAAAGAGTGGACTGAGAGGAGCTGGAAACCCTACAGACAACTCTTTCAAACAGCCTGGTTGCAGGTACTGCTCGAGGGCTGAGGTGGAGAGAGCCAGTGGGATCTTTCTTCTGCTTAGTGAAGGAGGAAGCGAGGCTCTCCTCCTCCTGGAGGTCAGGGAAGGAAGTGTTGGGGATGTGAGGAGGGAGGGGAAGATGCAAACCAGCTGTCCAGGAGAGCAGGAGAGCAAACAGGGCAGGGGGCTGGGCACCTGTGGAGGCCCACACTGTGGGAGCACCAGACCTGGAGTCTGATGAGGGGCCCAGGCTCTGTTTCCTAGTGACACTCTGACCTTGAGCTAGTCATGGCCCCTTTCTGAACCTCGGCTTTGACAGCAGGCAAAAAGACCTTCCCTGTGTTGCTCTCCAACCACTGTAGACTGTCACCATGAATGTTGTCAAGGTGGGTGATACTCTTGAGAGCTCATGTGGCCTGGGGGTGAGAGCATGAGCCCTGGGGTCAGAGAGTTGGAGCGTGTATCAGCTACCCATGTCACACCTCAGAGCCTATTTCCTCATCTGAACCATGAAGGTTAGGACAGTCCCTGGCCTTGAGCATTTACTCCGTGGTGCCTAATGAGGAGACCACACGGTCTGACAGAGACACCACAGGCTCTCAACAGCCCCGCACTGGCTTTGACATCAGCCCCAGTCCATGCCTGCAAAGCTGGACCCGGAGAAAGCCCCCGGATCGGCCGGCAGGGACAGTCTCAAATGAGTGGAGCCAGCACACGTGGCCAGTAGCTCTGGTTCAGGAAGAGGCTCTTCTGAAATCCTGGGTCAAGGGCATTATTTTTCACCCATTCTGCTTTCTGGAGTGCTGGGCAGTGGCAGAATGCCCTGATGCCGAGATGAGTCACCTAGGCACCTGGGCAGGCATTTAGAAGACGTGTTCTCTGGGAAGGGAGCCAAAGTGTGGTTTCAGGTGGAGCTGGGAAAAGAATCTGGAGTTAAGAATGAACTTGTTGCATAAGAAAAGGCTCCTGGAGGTTGTCAAAGCACAAGCAGGAGACTGGGCTGAAGGCCGGTCTAGGGGTGGGGGTGGGAGGGTTGGAGGGGTAGGAGGGGTGCGGGTGTGGGGGGAGGCTCCCTTCCAGTGCCATTAAGTGGAAGACCTGGGTACTGGGTTAGGAGTTCCCTGTAAGCAGGGTCCAGAACTGGCTTCTTGTGGATAAGCTACACACCCACAGTTGAAGTGAATGACTGGGAAGGAGGACCTGCTTGGAAAGCAGCCACCGCCCACACATCACATCTCTCTATCCATCGTGGGCCAGCCACTGTGCCAACAGCTGTCCTCCGTGTTTTCGTCATCTGGCCATGGCCGTCCCTACCCTGGCCACTGAGGGGGAAGCTGCCTGCTGTCTCTGCACTCAGCCAGGTACCAGGCTAAGCCCAACATTCTGGTTCCCAAAATGCTGATCGCAGTGCTGTGGGGCAGCGCAGGCAGGTGCAGAGCCACAGATGGGAATGAGAGGACCAGGATATTTGTCCTGCCTGGCTGGCTCTGAGATCTGGGGCAGATTATTTCCTCTCTCCAACCTTCTACACAGTACCTTGGCTCGCAGAGGCCGTGCTCTCTCCCAGGCCTGTGGTGAGCATTGTGAGTGTGGCTTTTGCTCACGCCCTCTATGCTTTGACCCGGAGAAGCCACTGCCACACTTACTGGTTCATTCTTGCCAACCTGAATTCGGTAGCGGGAGATGAAGTTAGGTTTTCCGGTTGTGTCAACCACCAGCAGAAGCCCGTTGAAGGCCCAGAAGAGCAGAACTGGTACTTGGGCAGCACCTGAGGATAGGGAGCAGAAGGAAACAATCAGGGCACTTTGGGTTCTCACGGCACATCTATTAACAGAACACAGCCTGACGGGACCAAGGCTGTGTGGTAGGCGGTCCCTTGCTGGGGAGGTCTTGGTGCTCCTGGCCAGAGGGTCTTATCTTTTTTTTTTTTTTTTTTTAAAGATTTTTATTTATTTATTTGACAGGTAGAGATCACAAGTAGGCAGAGAGGCAGGCAGAGAGAGAGGAGGAAGCAGGCTCCCTGCTGAGCAGAGAGCCCGATGTGGGGCTCAATCCCAGGACCCTAGTATCATAACCCGAGCCGAAGGCAGAGGCTTAACCCACTGAGCCACCCAGGCGCCCCTAGAGGGTCTTATCTTTAGTCCTGGGGTGACCGACTAGCTGGGGGAACTTGGCCAGGTCACTTAAGGAGTGTCTCTATTTTCTTAGTTGTAAAATGGAGACCACAACCTTCTAGGTTGTTGAAGACAAAAAAAAAAATTGTTAAATAGAAATAAAATTTATAATAAATATAAAATCCATATAATAATGAATAAACAAACTACAAATAAATTTAGGTTGACAGCTGGGAGTCTGTGCCCACTGAACACTTTATGAATTCCCAAGGGAGGGAGAAGCAGAGGAAGTGCTTGGTACAACAGGGTTCCTAATGAACACTAGACTAGGAGTCAGTCAGAACCTTAATCCCTATGACCCTATGAACTAAGCAGTGGGAGTTCAGGTATCTAGCCAGCAGTTCCCAAAGTGGAAAACTCATCTCTCAAGGCATCCTTGGTTAAACAGTGTTCATACCCACTTTCTTGGAAAGCCATGGTCCAGAATAGCCTGCTAGTGGCTCTAAGAGAAACCCATTTGACTTGGTTAATTAAGCCCAGCCTTTCCCAATCTTTTTTTACACCCAGGAACTCTATTTTCTCAGAACACCTACGAACATGATGGCCCTGTACTCGTTTGCTCAGGACAGTTTGAATTTACATCAGGCAGTCTAGCATAATTATTAACACCACCTCATCTAGTCTCACAAATGTTCCTCTTTGGATGAAAAATTGTACGGCCACCCCACCCATTCACATCCCACAGCACTGATGCTCTGCAGGATACTTTAGCAAACTGGTGATCCACACTTGCAAAATTTAGATAGGGCTTTTTTTTTTTTTTTTTTCTCCGCATCCCACTTTCCTGTAAAGTCATTCTGAGAATCTCTGATCTCTGACTATAAACAAACAAGCACTTTCTCCACTAGGATTGCCTCTTATTGGAATAACAATACAATGTTACCTAACTCTTGAACTAGTAACTTTGTCTGTGTTTTGCCGCCTCCTTCTAAATATCCCAAGGGCCAAGGGCATTTTACTTAACTCTGTGTCTCCGTATTCTTCTTCCTGTACCCTTCTTGCTCCCACCAGAAACCCCAGTGCCTGCGTCCACTGGGACCTGAAAAACACTTGGCCAGTGCTGTGGGGAAACAGGATTAACACAGCATCCTAGGGAGTAATCTGGCAGTATCCAAAGAAGAGAAGAGCAACAGAAAAGGGGGGGTTGGGGGGGGGGGAGAAAAAGAAAAAGGCCACACATGTCCATACACATATATAGCCATTACCACATAAAACAAACAAACAAACAACAAACACAATAGAACCCTTAAGGAGCCTGAGTGTCTATTAATAGGGAATGGACTAAACAGATGAGAGTATCTCTATATAACGGACTAGACTGGGCAGCTTAAAATAGTAAAGTCAGTTTAAACGAACTGACATGGAAAGATGCCCACAATCTATTCAATGAAAAAAGAATAAAAAAATAGTTGGTATTGTCTAAGTTCAACCATATATCCAATATAGACTCTTCTATATTTATACTAATTTACACATTATTTATACGACTTATACTAATATATTAACTGGTTATTTCTTGGATATGAGTGGGTGACTTTCACTTTATGCTTATTGGAATTGTCTGATGTTTATTTTTAACAACGAACATGTATTTACTTTTATTCTCAGAAAATTACATGCTTTCTTAATTTGGAAAAAAATAATGTTATGTTGGTGGTTGCCTAGTGGGCCAACCATCAAGGTAGTGCCTCCTTGTAGATCCAAAGGCTCCTGAAGGAATACAGAATAAAAGCCCCAACAAGATAAGATCTTGAACTTTTTTCCAGCTGTAACACTTAAAATTTGATCTCCTTCATATTTGCTTATCATTGGGGTGAAAGGCAATTTTCCCATCACTGTAACAAATATATATACATACATATAGATATGTATGTACATATGTATGTATATGTATCAAATGTTTTCTCACTACTTCCCCATATATGTTTGCAATCTACATTGTTCTTTTCAATGACTCTTCAATGACAGCTTGCACTGAACCTGTCATATTTAATGTTTAGCCTGTTTTCAGAGTTCTTCCAGCTGAAAACAATTGTCAAGGACATTTTATTTGTACTTTTGCTTTGTGACAACTGGCACTTTTTTTTTTATCTCCCCTTCTAGACTGTGACATAGTCTTTTATTACTATTTTTTAGAAAAAAAATTTTTTTTGAGAGACAGTGCATGCGTGGGAGGCAGGGTAAGTGGGGAGAGGAGCAGAGGGAGGAAAGGCACAGAATCCCAAGCAGACTCCTCACGGGGCACAGAGCCTGAAACCGGGCTCCATCTCAGGACTCTGACATCGTGACCTGAGCCCCAATCAAGAACTGGAGATGCTTAACTGACTGAGCCACCCAGGCACCCCTGTGACATAGTTTTTTAAATGAGATAAACACTTCATCTTAAGTATCTCTATATCCTCCATAAAAATTTGGCAGAGTGACATTAACATTCTTTGTGTGAACGAACTCGTGATTGAGGACATTCACCATTGTCGATAATGCTGATATAAATACCTGTTAAAATGTCTTTGTTCTTCCACCACATTTCCTTTGGCTTATTGTGAGTCATTCACAACATCAGTAAATATTAATATTAAGTGACCACTTGTTGTCAAGCCCCAAGAGCTAGATTACACCAGGGATGAGGACACAGTCTCACAGGAGATCGAGCGGCTCTCTGTGCTTGTGGACCCGACATCCAGAAGCAGGACTGGTACTCGAAACATGCATTCATTTTCAGACACGGTTTGTTTTTAAATTTTTCTATTTTCAGGGGGAGGGGAGTCTCAGGTTCTTTTCTTAGAAATCCTTAGGCAGCCATTTCAGACTGCCTATGATTAGCCCTCTTTGGGATTACCACTGTCATAAATGTCTTCATTCCTTGGAATAAGGAGCTGAGAAATCTCAAAGTAGAGAAGAAAACCACAGACAAAGAATTAAGCTGTGATCGTGTACCCAAACCCTAAGCACTCACGGTCTGGAAGGCTCACCTATAATGTAGAGGGCCCACTCCTTCCCTTCGAATGTCGACAGCAGCCTCTCCCACTGGGCTTGCCAAAAATAGCCAGAAGCGCCCCAGAATCTCTGAAGATGCCTTGGAAGAGAAGTCATTGAGGTTTCCGGGTGAAGACAGGAGGGTGGACAGTTTCTTACCACACGCTCCACCTCAGGACCCCCAGCACACTGTCCCCAGGTCGTGAAGGAAAGCTGGCAGCTCACCATGTGACTGAGTTCCAGAAGGCCACGAGCAAGAGAAGGCCAGAGCCCAAGATGAAAGCTGTTCTCCTCATGGAGCCCCAGAGGTGTCCCTCCTAGAGGACAAGAAAGTGTCAGGCCCCAGCGAGCCTCCTGCTGTTACAGACAGCTCACAACTAGTCCTGGCAGGGAAGATGTGGGATCAGTATCTCAACCACGTCAGCATCACACATCTGCTGACCTTTCCCCAGCTTCTGCGGGAGGCTCTTCCTTATCAAGAGCTCTGGGGCTGTATAGGGGTGTGTTCATGAAAATGAGAGTTCAAGGCTGGAGAAAGGAAGAGAATAAACCCGACTCCAGAGAAACTAGCAGTTCTGTCACCCTGAGAAGGACAGGTAAGCCTTCCCCAGCAGTGAGGCTTCAACACCACTCCTCCTGTGGAACAGAGATGCCCATTCTCGGGGCACTGGAATCACCTGGGAGCTTTTAAAAAAATCCCAGTCCCCAGATTCCTTCCCTGCCTGATTACATAAGAGTCTCCAGGGTGAGACCTGGGTCTCTCTGTTTCTTTTTTGTTGTTTTTGTTTTTGTTTTGTTTTTTTTTTTTAAAGCTCCCCAGCTAATTCCAGTGGACAGGCAAGGCGGAGACAGCCAGCACAGAAACATCTGCAGAAACTGTTCATGGGCCACACCTCTTTCCCCATCCCCATTCCCCTCTTGCTCAGGAAGAAAAAAGAACAAATGAACACATGTTCTGACTTTTAATAATTCCTCTGCTTCTAGTGGGAGGAGCCTGGGTTGCCCCTGCCCAGGATAACGAGCAGTTCTAAGGGGAAGAACGGACCCCTGGCCATCACTGGGCGGTCCCTGACCTAGTCTCCTCCAAAAAGTCTAAAGTAGAGATCATTGCAAACTTGATGGTCAAGCAAACTGCCAGATTTGGAGAAGGAAAATGCTACTGGCTGTGTCACCAATTTCCACTGTACCGTGGACAGAAATGACAAACGTCCCTTCCCTCTCCTATTTCGAAGCCCAGACCGAGTCTGCTTATATCCTTTCCCGGGAGAGAGCTGGCTGGTCCCTGCAGCTGTGTGCCCGAAGTTCTCCTGCAGTCAGCGAGCTGGACCAGGGACACAGGCGCAGGGGCGGTTGGCTGCAGGAAGCTGCTCTAACAGGACACCATGTTTTAACTCAGACTTTGGAGCTCTGAGGCAGTACGCTGTTTGGACTGAGCCGTCTGTTTACCTTCAGCGTTACCTTCTCGCACTTCTGATCGAAAGACCAAAGAGAACAAAGTTATTTTCCGTGGCCAGTGAGAAGTTTTTGAAACTTTTCAATAAAATTTTGAAAATAACAAAGTTATTTTCCGTGGCCAGTGAAAAGTTTTTGAAACTAGTGCCCCTCAGGGTCCTGAGCTCTGGAAATGAACTTTCCCCTCTCTCCTTGAGGGCTGGATGGACCAATCAGGGGAACTTGTTTTTTTAAGCAGGCCATGGAACACTCACCCTCAAGCTTGCCAGACATTTAACTCGGGCTTGGCAATTATTCCTTTTTTAGTATTCAGAGGACCCTTTTCATGAACTTTTCCAGACTCGCTAGGAATTTTTCATTTGCGTGTAATCAGATCAAGCTAAATTAAATAAAAAACCTCAATTTCACATAGAAGAGTAGCTACTTTTTTGGGGGTGAGATTGTGTCATCTCTCTCTGGCAGCCCAAGTGAAAGGACTATAAACAAGCCAAAGGTCTCTGTGCCATGCAAGAGCACAGGGCAGAAGTCAGCTCAGAAGTCAGCTGGGGTCAAGGGTTGGTTCCCAACCCCAGTTTCCAGCCTCCAGTGGGCTTCTCCTATCTCCAGAGCAGTTATAAAAAGGGGTGGTTTCAAAGGCCTGAGGGACGGGGCATTCCTCGGGGCCAGGAGACAATGGGAAGATGGCCATCAGGCTTTTTAGGTCTTCTCCTGGCGTCGTGCTACCTCGCATGGGCAAAGGAGTTGAGTTACACGGCAGCTGGGAATCCAGTGGTCTTTGCCCAGCTACTGAAATGAGCACACCACCAATGTGTCAGCAACCCCTAGACCTTGGTGGAGACCCCAGATACATAGCACGGGCAGCTATGGAAGGAGCCAGTGGCTGCCTTCTCACTAGCTCCGTGGGTGGGGTGCCGGGAGTTACCTGTTTTGGCTTGTCACTGTGTTGCATTCTTCCAGCTTCTCCCTTCATCTGGAACAAGAAAGCACCAGTGAGTCATGAGGTCATGTTCAGAGGCAACCAAGCAAGTGTAAAGACTGACTGAAGAATGTCAAGGGGAATGGCTAGGTGTAGTTTTTTAAAGCTGGCTACCGACTAAAACCATCTGGGGAGTCAGATAACCTCTGTCTGGGCTCCCACATCTGGAGATGGAATTGGTGTGGGCACAGGTAACATGAATCAGAGTTGGCAGTGGGGGACTCCATCGGCAAGGAAAGGGTTCTCTACAGGAGGAACTGTGACAAATTCTCCCCTGGAATAGCTTTACTCCCTGCCTCAGCACAACCCTGTCTCATTCAGGAGAAAGCTTTCCTCTGTACCTCCACGGCACCCTAACTGCTGATGGCCTACAGCCCCAAGGCACCTGGACTGAAGCCAGGGCCAGGCCCATGATCTGCATGGACAGCTAGTGTAACCTCTGTGAACTCAGGCTACCACACACGGGGGCTGTTTTTGTAACACTGACTGAAATGGAAGCATTTTGTAACCTGTTCAACAGGATTTGAATGAACGGTGTATTTACATGCAGGAATCATTAGACAGTGAGTCTGGAAATCTGACACCTTTCTCAAGGTTCTATCATCAATGGGTCTGTCACTTACTGGTTTTATGACCTTGGTCAAAATGTCCTCTCTGAGCCTCGATTTCCTTCACCATAAAATGAGAATAACAATGGGGTCCCCGGTTGTGTGATCTCTGCTGGGGGACTGTAACGGCCATGAGGACGGGCTCTCTGGTGTGCCCTTCCTGGGGCCTTCACACAGGACGTGCATAGCCCATGTACACTGAGGGGATGAATCAGCGGATCTGGTTCGTTGGGCCAGTGTTGGCCCAGATGGACCTCGGGAACTCCTACATCGGTCACCCGGGGATTGGTCGAAACCTGGATTTCCAGGCTACACTCCAAATCAGAGTCTCTTAGGGCAGAGGCTAAGAAACTGCATTTTGGACTCATTCCTGATGTGGTTCTGGAAGACTTCACTGTCAACCCCGGCTACGTAAGCTATGTGCTGTGGGTTGGTCAAGGGAATGGCCATCACCTGAGGTCTATGGGGCACAGGCTGGCTCTGGCAAACGTCTTCTCACTCAGTCCTGACTCCCATCCCTTCTTCTTGGCAGAAAGCAGAAGCTAGAAGTTTGCACTGCTACAGAACGGAAGTTCCCTAAGTCAACCCACTGGGGGAGATACCAACGACATCATGAAATCCAACCCACCTAATTTAATCAAACAAGCACGATCCACTGGGACCTACTCTGTACCAGGCCCCATGGCCTTTCATGGGTACTGCAGAGCACACTGGGAAAACCACAGGAAGGACACCGCCTTCAAGTTGCTCATAGTCCAGCTGGAAGCAAGCCTAGCAATACAGGCTGAAGTCCAGCAACTGAGAAGAGAATGGCAGGAAAGGCCTCAGGATGGGAGTAGAGAGGAACCGGGGGTGGAGCTGGAACAAAATTCAAGATAGCACAGGCCTATTAAAGTCCTGAACGAAAGAATTATGTTCACCTTCAGCACTACTTTTAACATTCAATGGGGCATTCATCAACACAATTAGACAAGAGAAAATAAGCAAAGGTAAAGAATTGGGAAGAGAAAGGTAAAATCCTCACTGTTTTTGGATGCAGTAGTCCCCTCCTAATTGTGGGGGATACATTCCAAGACCCCCAGAGGGTGCCTGAAGCTGCAGGTGGCACTAAACCATTCATGTCCTACGCTTTTTCCTATGCACGTATACACCTGTAATAAAGCTTAATCGGTAAGTTAGGCATAATAAGAGATTAGTCACAATAAAATAGAACAGTTATAACAAAATACTGCAATAAGTGATGTGAATGTGAGTGATCTCTCTATCTCATTCTCTCTCAAAAGATCTATGCTATTTATCCTTCCAGGCAGAAATTTTTTTGTCCGCCTTCATACTCCTCTCATTGCGGCACCCATAGTGAGGACGACGCCTGCCACAGATTTGCCTTTGCTCATTGTCACTGCAGTTTGCTCCCAGGCTGCCATGGCATCAACTTTAGGCCTTAACCTCAAGAAATTAATTGCTTGGTTTTTGGTTTTGTTCTTGTTTTTTTAAATTGCTTGGGTTTTCTGATGGGTTGTGTCTTTGGTATGCATTCTTTTTTTTTTTTTTTTTTTAAATTAACAGGCCTTTTTTAGATTTTTTTTTTTTTTTTTTTAAGATTTTATTTATTTATTTGACAGAGAGATCACAAGTAGGGAGAGAGGCAGGCAGAGAGAGAGGAGGAAGCAGGCTCCCTGCCGAGCAGAGAGCCCGATGCGGGGCTCGATCCCAGGACTCCGAGATCATGACCCGAGCCGAAGGCAGCGGCTTAACCCACTGAGCCACCCAGGCGCCCCTTTGGTATGCATTCTTGCAACTTGTGTGTGCCCTTATGAATGCCCTTTTTAATCTTGGCCTTTTCCAGTAGCTTCCTGGCATTCCTCTTAAGTGTTTTTGCAACAAACTTAAAGCGTTTCTCCGTATCTGAAACAATGCCATGGTTTCTCCAGGAAAATGGCAGCCTGAGACAGTGCCTGGATTTGGTATTTGGGTGGCTGGGGATGGTGCTTGCCCTGAGTTGCCAGCCAGCTTGATTTTGTTGAGTATCTCACTACCTGTCTTATTGCAAAGCTCTAGTAAGTGTGGTGCTAGCACATGAACAGGCAGACATATATAATGCATGAGAAAGTCCAGAAACAGACATATATAGGAATGTAACATATGATAAAAGGAAATCAATGTAAATGCACTTTGAACTAAACAGATGCTGAACCTCCTCTATGATAAGAGAAATGGGAATTAGAACTACAATGAGAGGGGACGCGTAGGTGGCCTAGTCAGCGGAGGGGCGAACTCTTGGTTTTGGCTCAGGTCATCATCTCAGGGTCATGGGACTGAGCCCGGCATCAGGCTCCTCACTCCGTGCAGAGTCTGCTTGTCCCTCTCCCTCCCGCCTCTGCTCCTCTCCTCATTCTGTCTCTCTCTCTCAAATAAATAAAACATTAAAAAAAATAAAACTACAATGACAAATTATTTCTCACCCATCAGCAGGGCAACAATCCAACAGTTGGATCACATGCTCTGCTGGTAAGGCTGAGGGGACTTTAGAATTGTATTTAGGGACTCCTGGGTGGCTCCGTCAGTTAAGTGGCTGCCTTCAGCTCAGGTCATGATCCCAGGGTCCTGGATCGAGTCCCATGTTGGGCTCCCTGCTCAGCGGAGAGCCTGCTTCTCCCTTTCCCTCTGCCTATATGTGCTCTCTCTATCTCTCTGAGAAATAAATAAAAACCTCTAAAAAAATAAAAAATAAAATTGTATTTGTTCTCATTTTTTTAAAAAGATATTATTTATTTGACAGAGAGAGCACCAGCAGGGGAGCAACAGAGGAAGAGGGACAACCAGGCTCCACGCTGAACAAGGAGCCCGATGACCCCAGCAGAAGGCAGATGCTTAACCCACTGAGCCACCTGGGTGTACCTCAATAAAGGCATTTAAATTTTAAAAGATAGGGGCACCTGGGTGGCTCAGTGGGTTAAGCCACTGCCTTCGGCTCAGGTCATGATCTCAGAGTCCTGGGATCGAGCCCCGCATCGGGCTCTCTGCTCAGCAGGGAGCCTGCTTCCTCCTCTCTGTCTGCCTGCCTCTCTGCCTGCTTGTGATCTCTCTCTGTCAAATAAATAAATAAAATCTTTAAAAAAAAAAATAAAAATAAAAAAATAAATAAAATCTTTAAAAAATAATAATAATAATAAATTTTAAAAGATAACATGGGGTGCCTGAGTGGCTCAGTTAAGCATCTGCCTTCTACTGGGGTCACGATCCCAGAGTCCTGGGATCGACCCCCACACTGGGCTCCTTGCTCGTGGGGAACCTGCTTTTCCCTCTACCTATTGCTCTCCTTGCTTGTGCTCTCTCTGACAATATCTTAAAAAAAAAAAAATGTCTTGGGGCTCCTGGGTGGCTCAGATAGTTAAGCATCTGCCTTCAGGTTAGGTCATGATCTCAAGGTCCTGGGATGGAGCCCCACGTTAGGCTCCCAGCTCAGCGGGGAGTCTGGTTCTTCCTCTCCCTCTGCCTCTCCCACCGCTGGTGCTCTCTCTGTCTCCCAAAGGAATAAATAAAATCCTAAATATATGTCTTTATTGATACACAATTCACATACTATATGATTTACCCATTGAAAATGTGCATTCAGGGGCACCTGGGTGGCTCAGTGGGTTAAGCCACTGCCTTCGGCTCAGGTCATGATCTCAGGGTCCTGGGATCGAGTCCCGCATCGGGCTCTCTGCTCTTTCTCTTCTCTCTTTCTCTCTTTTCTCTTTCTCTCTTTCTCTCTCTGCCTGCCTCTCCGTCTACTTGTGATCTCTCTCTGTCAAAAAAATAAATAAAATCTTTAAAAAAAAAAAAGAAAATGTGCATTCATTCAGCTTTTAGTATGTTCATAGAGTCGTGCACTCATCACCATGATTCATGTTAGAACATTTTCATTGTCCCAAAGGGAAACCCTGCACCCTTTACTCATCAATTTCCAATTCTTTTCTCCTTCCGCCCCGACTCTAGCCCTAAGCATCCAGTGATCCACTCTCTGTCTCTCTGGATTTGCCTATTCTGGACATTCTTGATCCCAGGGTCCTGGGACTGAGCCCTGCATCGGTTTCCTTGCTCAGCGGGAGCCTGCTTCTCCCTCTCTCTCCCCTCTGCTCATGCTCTCTCTCGCTCACACTCTTTCTCTCAAATAAATAAATAAAACCTTAAAAAAAAATTTAAAAAATCAAGATAGATGTATGAACATGAATATCACTACTGCCACTGAAAGTATTCCCTACTCCATTATTTCATTCTCCAAAGGAAGCCATGTACTTTATATGAATATACAGATGCTAAATTCTACATAGAAATTAGTGCACAGTTCTCCTCTTTGGAAGAAGTAGTATGCTTTTTTGTAACATGCAAAACAAAACTGAG